TTGATTAATTATTACAATACTAAAAAATAAGTGATGTTAAAAAATTATGCATTATAACCATAGATGAATATGTGTATTAACATTAAAAGCATAATTTTCTTTTAGTTTTCATTTCAAATTTTAAATTCATGTTTACAATAAAATTGTAACAAGTCACGCGTAGCGTGGCTATATTCATCTAGTTTATGTAATTCTTCAGCGGCTTATGACATGAACCATAAAAAATAATACATGTCAATTTTGTTTCCTAATATATATGCCATATGATACCTATGTATATTGAATCAATTTTTTTAAATAATAATTAAATAATTTTTATTTATAATTATGTTTTTGTTTAAGAGATGACACTATATCTATTTGTTTGCTTTACAAGAATTCTTTTCGTCTAGAAAAAATTAGATAATGTTTTCTATAAGAAAATAAGAGGACATGTTAGAATAAGAAAATCATAATCTGTATTTACTTGAACGATTGTAGCCACCACGAATAAACGATAAATTAAGTGTCAAAACAGTCGCAAAATTACCACATTTATGTGACGATTTTGATAATTCCTTTTGCGACTTATTTGCGACCACATTTAGGTCACGAGTTTATGATACCCTAATTGTCCTAACTTAGTCTGATTGTACGACTTTCCAAAGTTGTCACATTTTAGTCTTCAATCTAGGACCATGATATAACGCCTTGCGATGGTCGCTTATATACGACTAATTTAGGTAGTTAGAAAAGCGTTGCAAATGTGAGACCCATTTGCAACCAAAGCCAATTAGTGACTATAGATTGAGAACCACTTTTGGTAGTCCAGAAACAGTTGTAAAGAAGTGTTTTGCGACAAAATTATGGCGATTCGCGGGGTCACAAAACGTAGATTATGTTGTATATCGATCGTGCAGCATTTATATGTCAAAATACAGAGGTTGGCAACTCAAATTGACTGGTAGTTCCACTTCTAGATTAATCAATCTTGAATTTAGAAGAATACCATATTTGTGGCAAAACCAAACAGATCTTTCGTACCAATTTTGAATCGATTATTAAACACAGGCAACGTCCTAGCCAAATTTTAACTTAAACAAGCAGATCGATCTATTGTTGTTTACAAAGTTGAAGCTTAATTGATCATCTAAGTTATGATCTTATATTTATTTTCTTATCAAAAGTTATGTTGAATATTTTGAAAGAACGTAAATGAGCAAAACAGTTTTATTTATTTTTTGTCAAAGATGAAAAACATATCCCTAACAAACAAAAGTTGTTGGGTGTTTATTGAACAGATAAAAATTGAATCTTATATCTTTTAAAAAAAATAATCAATTTTTCGATAATACACTAGTATATTGTATTTGAGTTCTAAAGTAGTGCACATTTCTTCTCTTTTTAATTTCTAGGTTCTTCCATACATTAATTCATGTGAAATCTGTATACCCAATGCTTGTATTTTTGCAACTGTTTAATTCTTATTTCTTGAACTTTCTTGCTTACTAAAATGATGTGTGTCAGATTTTTCTCTGGGAACCGGTGGAAAACACTCCATATCTCTCTCTACATGGTCCATGACATTTCTTAGAATTTTTATTTGCCATGAGATCATTTAATAAGCAACCATACCTTTCCCTTGTGTTTTTCACAAAATCCTATACTATTATTTAGGGAGTACACTTTATAAGATACCCTTAACTAACCTTCCCTTTTGTAAGAATTTACTTAAAAATGTCATTACAAAAATCTTCTTTTAGAACAAATTTCATTCAATTTATTAAGGATAAACAAGTAAAATACTAATTTATGTCATTTAATTAATTTAATTAAATTATAAAACGAAAATCTGTTATTATATATTTTTTTTAAGTGACCAATCAAAATGAACATATAAGATTTGATATCTAACTTACCATATTAATTTGTTATTAATCATTAAACTTCACCTCTCATCTTTATATGATTATATTAATATGAAATAAATAAATCATCATATCATCTACATAATAAAAAAAAGTAAATTTTTTTCTGCATATGCCAAGATTTGAATTTTTAAAAACGCATATAAATTGTTCAATCTATAAAGGAAACAATTAAACGGGTCAAAAATTCAGACTTGAGTAATATATTTTTTTACACAAAAATAAAGTTAACAAAAATTCCGACTCAGCAACGGGTCAGAATTTGAATATTTATATTCGATTTCATACATTTATTTTTTTGAAATGTATAATTTTATATACTACAATAAAAATTTAAATATTTTAATTTGCAACATTTAAAATAAGTTTTACTTGATATTTTTAGAGAATATCATCAATACTTAATAGATCAAAAAGTTAAAAATTATAAATACTCTAATTTGATTATTTTTAAAAATATTTATAATAGGTAGCGGGTTAAATATGATATATTATATGATGAAATGAGTTTTGATCCTTATAACTATTTGAATAGTTATATTTAATTTCATATAATTTGTTTTTTGAAATTCATAATTTTATAAACTACAAAAAAAATTTAAAGATTTTAATTTGGAATATTTAAAAATAGTGTAGAACATTTAAATATGGTTTGACACCTCTAAATATTTGAAAATTTGATTCCGCAAGCAATTTTAGAATTAACGAATAATAGATTGTGCACGTAATATTTTAAAATGAAATATTGAGATTCTAAAATAAAAATATAGACTTCACGCACGGGTTGATTTTGGTATTATTATATACTAAATATATGTTTATAACATATTCGATTATGCGAATAATTGGTAAATTCCGTAATTATAAATCTCAAACAAATTCTGTAATTAGATTAGCTCAAACAAATCTCTATTTCAACAACCAAAGAATTATGAATTGAAAAAGAATTTTCTAAATTAATTCAAAATAATAACTAATTTTCTTAATTAATTCTAAATAATCTATGTTTTTATATGAGATTTATTTATGATATTTTAATTTTTGATCTAACTGAAATATATGCAATCCTATTTTGTGGTTGTTAACATAAATTAACTCATTGTTCAAATAATATTACTTTTTAAAAAATGAAATTATTTTCCGTTTTCATATCTTAAAAAAAAATTATCCATAATTGAGTATTATAGATAAAATTCTATATTTATTCTAATATTGTATATAGGGACTGACAAAAAAATTAATTTTTTTTCACTTACTATTATAATATATTAAAACTTAGTTCTAATATATATATTATATAAATTTTGTAATAAATAAAATTCAACCCGTACTTTTGTACGGGTGATGATCTAGTAATTTTTAATAAAACCGTGAAACAGTTCTTTTTGGTAAGAATCTCATAAGGTAGAAATTTTCACTTTTAAAAATGAATTCCAAGGACAAACCAAACTCTTGATCTCAAAGGTATTTCTCCACCAATTTATTTTTATACTGTAAAAATATTTTCTTTTTAAAAGTGAATTCTAAGGTAACCCAAAGTCTTGATCTCAATGGTATCTCTCCACCAAAAATGTATGTCGTTTTTCCCTTCGTTTTTGCTATCAAGTTCCTTTCTAAATATTTCAACCTCCAATAAAATCTAGTAAAACATTTTTACTAGAAAATGATTCATAAGCACATAGATGGTCAAAATTCATCATATGATAAGATCATAATTCCCAACAAAGTTTTGACTAGATAACTACAAAAATAAAATAAGCTTGAACTCTCTTTAAACAAAAATCTATATATAATAGCAATCTAATAAATACCATTTGCACATCTGAACGGTTGCGTCTTTTTATCGCAACCTTTCGTTTAAATCGGTTATTTTTTTTACGGTTATTTTGGTTGCGTCTTTTTATCGTAATTTTCGTTTTAATCGGTTATTTTTTTACGGTTATGTCGTTTCCAATAAATACCATTTGTACATCTGAACGGTTGTGTCTTTTTATTGCAACCTTTCGTTTAAATATTTATGGTTGTTTTTCTTACAGTTATTTTTGTACGGTCATGTTGTTTTATTGAATTTCTTTTTACGTAAACCAATAAACTACATATAAAATTGGTTTATTTCATAGTTTACATATGGATATATTTTTAATTTTTAAACTAAAATTTATATTTTACGGGTATGTTTTTTAGAAAATTGCAATCCGAATATCTTCTGCGGTTGCTTCTTTTAATTGTACCTCTTCATAAACAGTTGCAACCTTTTATTCGAATTATTGCAATATTTAGTTTATTTCACGAACAATTGAAACTTTTAGTTTATATCACAAACAATTGTAACCTTTGATTTATATATTTAGTTTATTTCCCGAACGATTGCAACCTTTGATTTATATATTTTGTTTTGTATTTCACGAACAATTGCAACCTTTGGTTTATTTTACAAATTGCAACGTCGCGTCTCTCGGTATAATTTTCATAAATTAATATTTTTAATTTTTAATTACCAAAATGCATTTAAATGAGATTGTAATCGTTTAATTGAACCGTTGAAACATTTGGTTTATTTGACCAATCATTGCAATTTTTGGTTTTGTTTTACGAACCATTGTAATCTTTATAGTTTATTTGACGACCTTGACGAACCGCTACAACTTTTGATATATCGCAACATTTCATTTATTTCTTTTTAAACTAAAAAAATTATTTTACGTTATGTTTTTTGAGAAAGTTGCAATCCGAGTAAATATTTTTTACGGTTGCATCTTTTTATCGTAATTTTTCATAAAATGATTGCAACCGTTTAGTTGAACCATTGCAACATTTAGTTTATTTCACGAAAAATTGCAACTTTAAGTTTATTTTATAAATCGTTATAACATTTAATCATCTACCATCGTTATTATTAATTTTCGTTTGATATTTTTTTTAACGATTTTTGAAATATTTTCCCCCGCGATGTCGCGGGGGTCCGGAGTCCTAGTGATAATAAAAGATGAAGTAGAAAAGAAAAGAAAAAAAAAACAAATAAGCTTGAACTCTCTAATAATGTGTCGAAACAAGTGATTAACGAGAATAATCTCCAAAATTAATGACATACTTACTGAAAATCTTACCATGTCGAGATATCCGAAGAACTCTCATCATTCTAGCCGACCTTTTATATGTTTAGAGACTCTTTGCGAGGTGCAAGTCTGATGGGTTACCTCTCCATCTGTGTGGGGCTTAACTTCGGGCTCTGCCTCAGGACGTGGATGCTCATAGTAGGCGCAATAGTGCGTTAACTTTGAAGTTGGTGCAGGTCTTACCGTCCAATGGTGTAAGGAAGAGAATTGCCTCTCTTGAAGTTCAAAAACTAACTCTCCGTACCATAATTAGGCTACAATGGTCGATATGGTTCTGGATGGTGATGATTTATTTGTAAGGGCTCGAACTGCAATTGAAAAAGGAAGTCGATTCCATCAGAGGCCATTATTAACAATGTAAAAGTGTAAGAAATTGAATTCTATTCTGTTACGTTTACAGTTTGATTTATCCCAAAGGAAGAACTCGCGATCTGTGAGAACTATGAGTATGACTACAAATGAAACTATGAGTATTCTCAGAATGGACAAACAAGAAGAGCACTGAGTAATATAAACAAGAACATTATCGGAGCTCCTGTTTATCCTTGTGCTGTCAACAAGAGACCATTCACCGAGTAATTAATTACTTACTAACTTCTTCTTTGAATGATCCTTTATTTGTAAAGTTGTATACACTTATCTTACGAACCAATTGTTTTCTCAGGCAGAATGGGATATGTAACAAGAAGATTCCACCTGTTCCATTGCATCGTCCGGTTACTAGGTCAGTAAATTTCAAATGATTTCTGCTTCAATGTCACAATTGTATTACTCCCTCCGTTTCACAAAGAGTGTCATTTTAACACATTTCACACAAATTAAGAAAACCTTGAATTATACATGTATGCCCCTATTTAATAAGTGATTAATGATTTAAATTCAATGAGAAGTAGCTTTAGGTTAAGGGTAAATCAGGAAATTTTGGGTAAAAGTTACATTGAAAATGTAGAATGACACTCTTTGTGAAACAAAAATAAAACTCTAGAATGACACTCTTTGTGAAACAGAGGGAGTATGAGTTTGGTTAGGAGCTCTAATTCTTGATTTAATTTCTAGAAATTTGCTGCTCAGTTAGCTGAGAACAATCCACAAGGAGGTAACTTTATATTGACACAAATTGAATTTGGTAATTGAAAACATGACATGGTTTAGGTTGTCTAATCTCAAATGTTTTTTTTTGTGGTTAGGAAACCAAGAAACCAGACTTGATTTCGAACGAAACATTAGATAGAATCAAAACAGATGTGGAAGAAGGAGACTTTAATGAACCAATGTTTGTTCAACACATTGAAGCCATGCTTGAAGAGATTGACCGAATGGTAAGAATAACAATTTGTTGGTTACTCGGATGAAGATACATGTTGTCTTTTATCTGCAGGAAGGAATTGAAATGGAAGATTCAAATGATATTGATGTTGAAGTAGAAGAGTCTGTGATGGATATAGACAGCTGTGACAAGAACAATCCTCTAGCTGTAGTTGAATACATCGATGACATATATTGCTTCTACAAGAAAAATATTGGTTACATATGGGATTTTCATGTTCTTGCAAGCATTGGATCAGATTCTAAAGGTAAAAATCATTTATGCTTTTCTTTTTCTTTTCTTTTTTTCCGTGGGAGTTAACAGAGAGAGAGAAGAAGAAGAGCATTGAGGATTTTAATGGAGAAAGATATTTGTAGAAGACATCTTTCAAGAGAAGGGATAGGATGTGTTTGGGTGTTTATGAGCATGTTTGACTTCAGTCATGGTGGATCTAGCCAGAAGCTTTTGATGGATAAGAAACGTGGAAGCAAAAGAATCATAGGTTTTTCTTCTTCTCTCTTTTGGGTATTGGAATGTGTCTGAACCAAAAAAGATTCTCACGTTGTTGGTTTGATGAAACAATGCAGGTAATAATGGAATGTTTGAGACTAAGGTTGAGAAGCAGCTTACTTGTGACTGTGAGGTCTTTGTTAAGTTTTTGTTGGATTTAAGAATCAAACTTGCTTTTGTTGTGTATAATGGTTTTGTGAGGAATGAAAAACTAAAGTAGATTGTTTTGTCTCAGGAAAGTGAAGCTGAAATGCAGAGTGTCAAGATACTAAGATGAGATTGATGAGAAGACTAAGAAAGGTAAGAGATGTTTGTGTATTCATCATTTTATATAAGACTCTGATGTTTGTTATGTATTGTCTAATCAAAAACCAGTTTTAAGACAACTTTACAATTGCTCTGTTTCATTACGATGGGATAGCAAGTGAGTGGAATGACGAGTTTGAGTGGAGCTAAATTTGATTCAATCTGAATGTAAGGTTGTGGCGGAGACGGTGAGAAGAAGATAGCTCAAATGAGAGTCTTGGAGATGACGATGGTCAGCATAATCATCACATGAAGAACTTACCATCGGGTCGTAATGGTTGTGGGAGAGGACACAGAACGTTTAGGAATGGTCATTTCAACACCGGTGGTGGTAATTAATTACGGTGCGAATGGTTATAGCGGTGAGAAGAGGAAAGCTCCAGCTGTGGAGAATCCATTGCCTGTGAGTTTGGAGGATCTGTATAACGGTGTGAAGAAGAAGATGCGTTTATCTAGAAATGTCTACAATGCTTCTGGGTATGTTTTCTTCTTCATCTCCCTCTCTATATACATATAGACCAGAATCAAGACCTAGAAGAATCTTTCCTTTATGCATTGCTATTGTATACGACTAATTGTAATTGAGTAGTTTTGGTGATTGGTTTGTCTCAGAAAAGCTTAAGACTTTGAATATCATCTGGTCTCGTGATGAAAACTGAAGTTGTTGGAAAGAAAAAAGGGTACTTTATTCGTTGGAGTCCAGGAATGAAGCTTATGACACTGTTATGATTCGTGTTTCTGTTTGATCTTGCAGGAAAATGATGGTAGAGGAGGAGATATTACCTATAGATATAAAACCTGGTTCGAAGAAAGTGTTAAGTTCTATGGACTTCCAACTCAAAACCAATTGGCAATGAGTGGAGTGGCCCATATCCCTTTATATATTACTTATGATCCCTTCCAACTTCCGATGTGGGACATTATGTCCTAATACGCCCCCTCGAGATGATGGCTCTTTGGCCATTAATCTCGGAATATTCGGGCTTAGATCGACGGCATCAATTTTGGGCCTTGTCGATGATTGGACCATCTTTGGGTCGGATCGGGTTGGACATGTGTGGATCGGGCTCTGATACCATGTTAAGTTCTATGGACTTCCAACTCAAAACCAATTGGCAATGAGTGGAGTGGCCCATATCCCTTTATATATTACTTATGATCCCTTCCAACTTCCGATGTGGGACATTATGTCCTAATAGAAAGGAACAAAGCTCACATTCCCTAAGAATGGCAATGAAGAGCCTGGAATCATACGAAGACAAAGGTGCTAGAGAAATTATAGAAAACCCAACCGACAAGACCAAGGTGCACCTCATTTACGCCAATGTCGTATCGTACTATCGTGTGCCTTCTCTTAAAGGTAAAATTGCCTCTCACCTGGCTGACTCTTATGAGTCGAGAACAAGTATTGCGTTTTCATTGACTATTTTCAAATACCAAATGTTATATGAATCAATACAATTTTTTTCCAAGAAGAATTGGAGGGTCTTACCGCCAGTTACCCAGATCAATTCAAAATCTACTATGTTTTGAACCAGGTTAGCCTTGAAATCCAAATATTTTTGCATTTCTCTAAATAACTAAAAGAAACTCTTTCTGATACCTTTTTTTGTCTTGGTGTTGACAATGATTAGCCTCCGGAAATATGGGCTGGTGGTGTTGGATTTGTAAAATCAATGTTGCATATGACAAGGATCTCTGTTTGTTTTATGAGTCTACAAGGACCAATGGACAAGATTACCACCGTTGCTATTCCTCTTACCTTAGCTGCAAGTTCTGAATATATGATTGTAAGTCCATATGTTCAGTTTCCTTTTTGTACTATTTTGTGTAAAGTGTTTTAGTGAATTAATTTGTTGAATTTGGTTTATCTAAGTTGCTGATTTGGTTGAGAAATTCCATGTTTTGGTTTTCTATGTCATAGATTGCAAATTTTGTGAAATATTTTTCATATTTTGGTTTCAGAAATAGAGGAAGGACGCTGAAGTGAAGTCTGAAGAAGAAGAAAAGGACGAAGACAAAGTGGAGGAAACTAGCATATTGACTAATGTAATCTTGAGTCATTGTCATTATCAGATAACACTTATAAATCATTCAAGGAGATTGAATCTTACGTTTTTTGTATAGCAAAGATTCGACCTTTTTATAATTTTGAATTTGGTTGGATTTCAACACCTTTGCAGATACAGGCAAAAGCAATTCCACCATTGATAATGGGAAAAGATGTACTTGGAGCTACCAGGACATGTTCTGGTTAAACCTTAGCTTTTCTTATTCCTGCTGCAGAGCTTCTATACCATGTTCGGTTTACTCCTCACAATGGAACTGGTGTTATTGTCATTTGCCCAACAAGAGAGCTTGCGATTCAGGTCCAGATTTGTCACACTTTTTCTAAATATCATTTGAATCTGTCAAGATTGATACTTATTATACATCATCAATGTTTCAGTCTTATGGAGTGGCAAAAGATCTTCTTAAGTATCATCCACAGACTGTTGGAAAAGTTATTTGCGGTGAGAACAGAAAGAAAGAAACTGAATTTCTTGTGAAAGGTGTTAATTTATTAGTAGACTTCTTGACCACCTTGAAAATACAAACTCGATTGGTGTTCTCATCCTCATTTCTTCAAATTTGTTTATTTTCAAATTTGCGTATAGCACTGGTGATGTATCGTGTATTATTAGTTGAGTTCTTTTGGTGTTTTTCTTCGGATTTGTGGCAATGGTAAGTCTGTGTATGTGTTTACTATCGATTTCTGGATTTATTGCTCTGCATCTTTGTCTCTTTATATTGTTTCATTTGTTTTTGCTCTATGTACTCAATGCTTTGTTCCTGCATTTTAGATCTTGGTTACGGTTGTTTCTCAGTGTTGGATAAAAATTTTCCTTCATTCTGCGTTGGTAAAAGCATGTATCTATTAAGGATGGAATTGTTGTTGAATTCTGGTTTACAGCGACTAATTGAACAGTTCTGCTCTTTCGAATGTAGTTTTATTTAACTTCAAACCCTTATGTGTACTGGTTTTCTCGAATGGTGATGCATATTTCTTTAAATCAGTTTCAAGTGTGGTGGAGATTTTGTGGTTCTGGATTTATCGAGTTTGATGATCCTTGTGCTTTTTACTGCAGAAACTTTTCGTATCCATGTCGGAGGTTTAACAGTCACTTCCCTACTCAATGCAGAATGCACTCTCTCCATTGATGAAAGGATTAGTCGGTGGAAAACTCTTCAAGCATTCAGATATCGATGTGAAAGTTGCAGTCGCTGCCTGCATCAGTGAGAATACAAGAATAACCTGCTCCAGATGCTCCTTATGATGATGACCAGATGAAGGTATGTAATTGTTTGGTAATTTTTCTGGAGGGAATGGGCATTATGCCCGTTGGTTACTGACTATTTTCTTCCAAGTTGCATGTTCTGGTTTCTAAGTTGCAGGTTTGGTTTGAGAAAATTGAAGGTTTACGTTCTGCAGGCTTGATGATTTATGTTTGCGGATGAAATTTGATTTCCCTAAGATGCTTTTAACAACTGCTAAGAAACAAAATGAAGAACTCGAGAGAATTGGTACAACAATTCCCAAAACGTGTTGCATATCCAGCCTTTCAAATTTTGTATCATACTTTAGAAATAAGATGTCTTTTGATGTATACATTCAAGCTAATCGGTATTCTAAAGATGTCAACACGTTTATTGTATACATTAGAATACCGATTGACATCTCTATTTGTACGTTTATTGTATACATTCAAGCTATTACGTACATGAGAGAATCTTTATTGTCATATGAAAAAAAGGGAAAAAACCTGAAAAAACCGCCTTCTATTTTTTATTTGGCCGTTTAATACATGTAGTTTTAAAATTAGAATAACAATACCACTTTTAATTGTTGTTGTCTTTTAAATTCTTTGTTTCTTAAATTTTGGTAGATTCACTGTGGGTTAAATTTTAACTGTAGTTAGCGATTCCGTTACCATCGTTAACGGTCGTTAACGCGGAGGTACGAATCTACCAAAATTTAAGAAACAAAGAATTTAAAAGACAACATCAATTAAAAGTAGTATTTTTATTCCAATTTTAAAACTACGTGTATTAAACGGCCAAATAAAAAATAGATGGCGGTTTTTTCGGGTTTTTTCCCATGAAAAAAATAATCTCATTTCTAAAATTTATGTTCAAAAACAAGTTACACCTTATTTATCAAGATACAAAAATAATCATATATTTTTATCAAAAACAAATGTATAATTGTTACTTATGATATGGACTAAATAACAATAATAGTATAGATTGATTTGAGTTCCATTTTATGTAATGATAAATGCATATATAGATGGACGGGAAATTACGATAATCTATGGGATATGGGATAACAACTGTAGAAGGGAATGTCTAGCCAACATAGTGTTCTCTTTTCTTTTGCATAAGAAGTAGATTTGAATAATGATTGTATTTGTTCTGGATTTCTCCGGTTGATGCCTATCAAGCTTTTTGTCGGAGGTGAAATCTTATCTTTCTCTATATCAGATCAACAGTTATTGGTATCAAAATATATCAGATCAACATTCAAGCAACTCTGATATACTTGGTGTGTTGTACAAGGATTTTGTTGGTGGAGTTGGACCCAAGGTATTGCCAATGCACGTTGCCAAAGCGATGTATAAATGGTTTCAGATCAAGGTATAATTTTAGATACGTTGGTTTAGATATTTTCTCGATTTTGCGCACCTAAACATTTTTTTTACTTTTGGATATATGGAGTACTGGAAGGCATATCAGCCATTACGATATGCTCGAGAATTGGTGAGGGGAAGTCCAGAGAGTGGATATGAGAAACTACCCACATACTTATACATGATAAGGAGAGCAAATCCTTGAACCTTAATGCGACTTGAAGTTGATGCAACACAAAGATTTAAATATTTCACCCTTAAATCAACCCAGTCGGAATCTTCGCCGTCGTTTGTGGGCATGGAGGATTCAAAGAGAGATGGCTAGGGTTTAGTAGAAAATCGAAGAAGAAGAGACATAAATGGGATAATCTGTGAGAAAGGAAAAAACTTAAGAAACCAAAACCTAAATGGAGACTTTTTATGTTTTTTTTGTTTTTGTTTCTTCATTTTGTGGTGTTATTTTTGCAAAGTTTTGAGTCAAACTGGGTAAATTTCAGTCAATTTAATTATGTTACAATTTATTTACGTGTAAATCAATATTCCTTTTTTTAAATTCCAAGTATTCTGAATATTGTTCAAATAATACATTTGCAAGAGTTTTCTTAAATCTTAAAAAATTATAATATGGTTAAGTTTGGGTTTTGTGGTCAATTGTTATGTCTAAGGTTAGGTCATTTGATTTATTCTTACTGGCTAAACATACATTTCTACGCTAAAGTCTCTTCTAACCAAAGGCTAATTTGTTCATGTTTGTGTCTAAACTTAGTTAATACTATACAAAGATTGTTTACTTAATAAAGAAAAAGCTTTTTACATAGAAAAAAAATTATAAATACTAGTTGATGCCGTTATTTCTCCAATAAATTATTTTAGATCCAAAAAATGAATCGTTTATTATTTTTCATATTCGTTATTGCTATTTATTCTAGGGTAAATGAAGCGTGCGAGATAAATGAAATACAAATCATAAACGACCTTGGTCCTGGTAGAATTCTCCAATATCATTGTCGCTACCCAAAAAAAGACTTCGGAGTCCAATACCTAAACTTCGATGCTATTAGAACCATTCAACTTCGGGACGAAGGATTCAATATAACAAAATGGCATTGTCTTCTTAAGCACGGGCTTAACATGAGGTATCATAAAGACATAGAAGTATACAGTCAAAATACACGTGCACCTCAATGTGGTCAAGTACGTGTATGGATTGCCAGACTGGGTAGGATATGGTTTAAAACAAGTTATGATGAACCGTCAGGAAAATTACTATTTTGGGATTATTGATAATGTTCTATTATTGTTTCTAAAACTGTTTCAAATTTATGTAATTCTTCAGCGGCTTATGACATGAACCATAAAAAATAATACATGTCAATTTTGTTTCCTAATATATATGCCATATGATACCTATGTATATTGAATCGTTTTTTTCAAATAATAATAAAATAATTTTTATTTATAATTATGTTTTTGTTTAAGAGATGACTCTATATCTATTTGTTTGCTTTACAAGAATGTATTTTCGTCTAGAAAAAATTAGATAATGTTTTCCGTAAGAAAATAAGAGGACATGTTAGAATAAGAGAATCATAATCTGTATTAATTTACTTGAACGATTGTAGCCACCACGAATAAACGACAAATTAAGTGTCAAAACAGTCGCAAAATTGCCACATTTATGTGACGATTTTGATCATTCCTTTTGCGACCACATTTAAGTCACGAGTTTATGATACCCTAATTGTCCTAACTTAGTATGATTATACGACTTTCCAAAGTTGTCACATTTTAGTCTTCAATCCAGGACCATGATATAACGCCTTGCGATGGTCGCTTATATACGACTAATTTAGGTAGTTAGAAAAGCGTTGCAAATGTGAGACCCATTTGCAACCAAAGCCAATTAGTGACTATAGATTGAGGACCACTTTTGGTAGTCCAGAAATAGTTGTAAAGAAGTGTTTTGCGACAAAATTATGGCGATTCGCGGGGTCACAAAACGTAGATTATGTTGTAGATCGATCGTGCAGCATTTATATGTCAAAATACAAAGGTTGGCAACTCATATTGACTGGTAGTTCCACTTCTAGATTAATCAATCTTGAATTTAGAAGAATACCATATTTCTGGCAAAACCAAACAGATCTTTCGAACCAATTTTGAATCGATTATTAAACACATGCAACGTCCTAGCCAAATTTTAACTTAAACAAGCAGATCGATCTATTGTTGTTTACAAAGTTGAAGCTTAATTGATCATCTAAGTTATGATCTTATATTTATTTTCTTATCAAAAGTTATGTTGAATATTTTGAAAGAACGTAAATGAGCAAAACAGTCTTATTTATTTTTTGTCAAAGATTGTTGGGTGTTTATTGAACAGATAAAAATTGAATTTAATGGGTATTTAATTTCCTGAATTTAAACAACAACTTAGAATCTTATATCTTTAAAAAATATCAATTTTTCCATAATATACTATTGTATTTGAGTTCTAAAGTAGTGCACATTTCTTCTCTTTTTAATTTCTAGGTTCTTCCATACATTAATTCATGTGAAATCTGTATACCCAATGCTTGTATTTTTGCAACTGTTTAATTCTTATTTCTTGAACTTTCTTGCTTACTAAAATGATGTGTGTCAGATTTTTCACTGGGAACCAGTGGAAAACACTCCATATCTCTCTCTATATGGTCATTGGTCCATGACATTTCTTAGAATTTTTATTTGCCATGAGATCAATTAATAAGCAACCATACATTTCCCTTGTGTTTTTCACAAAATGATTTTTAATAAAACCGTGAAACAGTTCTTTTTGTTAAGAATCTCATAAGGTAGAAATTTTCACTTTTAAAAATGAATTCCAAGGACAAACCAAACTCTTGATCTCAAAGGTATTTCTCCACCAATTTATTTTTATCATACTGTAAAAATATTTTCTTTTTAAAAGTGAATTCTAAGGTAACCCAAAGTCTTGATCTCAATGGTATCTCTCCATCAAAAATGTATGTCGTTTTTCCCTTCGTTTTTGTGATCAAGTTCCTTTCTAAATATTTCAACCTCCAATAAAATCTAGTAAAACATTTTTACTAGAGAATGATTCATAAGCACATAGATGGTCAAAATTCATCATATGATAAGATCATAATTCCCAACAAAGTTTTGACTAGATAACTACAAAAATAAAAAAATAAAAAAAAATAACATTACTAACGGGTAAAT